GGGGGGTTCAGGTGGACCGAGGAGTGAGTCGGGCACATCGGGGAGGGACAGCAGACAGGGCCGACGCGAGCGGAGCAGGGGAAGGGGCATGGAGCGGGCCGGCGCGAGCGTACCGCGGTGGTTGCCGGTGACCCGATCGCGGACGATGGTCGCGTCGACGATGCGCTGGCCAATTTCCGGGGCCCCGACCGCACGAAGCTCCTGCGACAGGGCAGCCATCAGGCCGCGGCTGTCCAGGCTGCGTGGGACCTGGCCGATGAAGTACTTTTGCGCGCCGGGAGCGGTGTCCGGCTCGTCGGCGGCCGGGGCTTGGCCCGTGCGCTGGCGCTGGCGTCGGGGCTGTTGCTGCGATTGCGATTGCTGCTGCTGCTGCCGGCGGGCAGCCTTCTCCGACTGGGCAGCCTTCTCCGGCTGCCCGGGCTGCTTCGCCTCCTCCGGCTGCTCCGCGGGGGAGACGGGCTCCGGCGGGGGCGAGCACCGGTCCGGCTGAGGGGAGACCTCGGGGTGGTCGACCGCACACACGGGAGGGGGGGACGGAGTGGCAGAAGCGCCTGGCTCGGGGGGGGCCGGGCCGCCGGCGGGCGATTGCTCGGCCTCCGGGGCGGCCGGGTCCGCGTCGGCCGCGGCAGCGGCAGCGAGAGCGGCTTCGGCGTCGACGTCAGCGGCAAGAGCAGCGGGGTCGGCGATCTCCTTGGCGGCGGGGGGGGCCATCGTCAGGGAGGAGGAGGAGGAGGAACCGGTCTCGGGGGATGCTGAGGACGAGACGAAGTCGGGGAAGGTGCTTGGCATGTCACTGAGGGAGCGAGGGGCGGCGCAGACACGTGGCCTGAGCGGGGGGCCGGAATGCGCCGGGCGAGAGACCCAGGGGCGAGGAGGGGCGGTGAGCAGGGAGGCACATGGAAAAGACGATGGGAGAATGGGGGGGGGAGCGTCGGTGGGAGCGCGTACAATCAATGTCACGGATCACCTCTTGGCAGCGACAAAGGAGAGGGGAAGGGAGGGGGAGGGCGGAACGGCGGTCGGGGG